TTCAGTTCTAGTTCAGTTCTAGTTCAGTTCTAGTTCAGTTCTAGTTCAGTTCTAGTTCAGTTCTAGTTCAGTTCTAGTTCAGTTCTAGTTCAGTTCTAGTTCAGTTCTAGTTCAGTTTTAGTTCAGTTTTAGTTCAGTTCTAGTTCAGTTCTAGTTCAGTTTTAGTTCAGTTCTAGTTCAGTTCTAGTTCAGTTCTAGTTCAGTTCTAGTTCAGTTCTAGTTATAGTTCAGTTCTAGTTAAGTTCTAGTTCAGTTCTAGTTCAGTTCTAGTTCAGTTCTAATTCTGTTCTAGTTCTGTTCTAGTTCTGTTCTAGTTCAGTTCTAGTTCAGTTCTAGTTCAGTTCTAGTTCAGTTCTAGTTCAGTTCTAGTTCAGTTCTAGTTCAGTTCTAGTTCTGTTCTAGTTCAGTTCTAGTTCAGTTCTAGTTCAGTTCTAGTTCAGTTCTAGTTCAGTTCTAGTTTAGTTCTAGTTCAGTTCTATTTCAGTTCTAGTTAGGTTGTGTTCTAGTTCAGTTCTAGTTCTGTTCCAGTTATTTTCCAGTTCTGTTCTAGTTCTGTTCTAGTTCTATTCTAGTTCTGTTCTAGTTCTGTTCTAGTCCTGTTCTAGTTCTGTTCTAGTTCTGTTCTAGTTCTGTTCTAGTTCAGTTTTAGTTCTGTTCTAGGTCTGTTCTAGTTCTGTTCTAGTTCTGTTCTAGTTCAGTTTTAGTTCTGTTCTAGTTCTAATTCAGTTCTTGTTCTGTTCTAGTTCTGTTTTAGTTCTGTTCTAGTTCTGTTCTAGTTCTGTTCTAGTTCTGTTCTAGTTCAGTTTTAGTTCTGTTCTAGGTCTGTTCTAGTTCTGTTCTAGTTCTGTTCTAGTTCTGTTCTAGTTCTGTTCTAGTTCTGTTCTAGTTCTGTTCTAGTTCAGTTTTAGTTCTGTTCTAGTTCTAATTCAGTTCTTGTTCTGTTCTTATTCTGTTCTAATTCTGTTCTAGTTCTGTTCTAGTTCTATTCTAGTTCTGTTCTAGTTCTGTTCTAGTTCTGTTCTAGTTCTGTTCTAGTTCTGTTCTAGTTCTGTTCTAGTTCTGTTCTAGTTCAGTTTTAGTTCTGTTCTAGGTCTGTTCTAGTTCTGTTCTAGTTCTGTTCTAGTTCTGTTCTAGTTCAGTTTTAGTTCTGTTCTAGTTCTAATTCAGTTCTTGTTCTGTTCTAGTTCTGTTTTAGTTCTGTTCTAGTTCTGTTCTAGTTCTGTTCTAGTTCAGTTTTAGTTCTGTTCTAGGTCTGTTCTAGTTCTGTTCTAGTCTGTTCTAGTTCTGTTCTAGTTCAGTTTAGTTCTGTTCTAGTTCTAATTCAGTTCTTGTTCTGTTCTAGTTCTGTTTTAGTTCTGTTCTAGTTCTGTTCTAGTTCTTTTCTAGTTCTGTTCTAGTTCTGTTCTAGTTCTGTTCTAGTTCTGTTCTAGTTCAGTTCTAGTTCAATTCTAATTCAGTTCTAGTTCTGTTCTAGTTCTGTTCTAGTTCTGTTCTAGTTCTGTTCTAGTTCTGTTCTAGTTCTGTTCTAGTTCTGTGCTAGTTCTGTTCTAGTTCTGTTCTAGTTCTGTTCCAGTTTGTTCTAGTTCTGTTCTAGTTCTGTTCTAGTTCTGTTCTAGTTCTGTTATAGTTCTGTTCTAGTTCTAGTTCTGTTCTAGTTCTGTTTTAGTTCTGTTCTAGTTCAGTTCAATGCAGACTATACTACGGATAGGACTACAGATTTGACTTACTAAAAATAGATAAGAGTATAGAATACATAAAATTTAACTAAATTTTAAACTAATTTTTATGATTTTTTTTCCAGGTCCCACCCAAGAAATTCTGCAACGCCAAAAGGAAAAACGCGATAAATTGGCAGCCGCGCTACGTAATTATAAAAAACGTTTGGGCAATGTAGAACAAGAAATAAATTTACTTACTGGGACGATACCTACACAGGGTCTATCCGAAAGACTGGATGAGGAAATAACAAAATTGAGGAGAGATTGTCAAGACATGCTTAGAAGTAGTAAGTTTACAGCAGCAATAATAAAAGAAAATAGAAATAATTTATAATCATTATTTCAAAATCAAATAGGTAACCCCTTTACACAACCGCCATTACAACAGGAACTAGCAATAGATCATCAGCCACAACAAAGGCCACCACAACCTCAACCATTCCCAAGACAAAGGATGACACGTCCGCCGCCAAGGCCACCACCACCACGTCAAACTAGTCTAGATATAATACAACATCATAGTCAAACATCAACGCCACATACACCACCTGCCGCTTCATTACCAAATCTAAATTTCTATAATCCACCACAACAACAACAACAGCAAAATCACAACAATTCTTTAACAATACCCTCATACTATCACCAGCAATCGGCTCCTTTTGAACAGCAATCATTTGTATACAGATCACAGTAATTTCGTCAATCAAGAGCCCATAGTCGATGATAGTGAAGAGGAGTATGAAGAAGTGATCGAACAGCCCTGGGAGTGCAGTATGTGTACATTCCGTAATCATCCACAATTGAATATTTGCGAGGCGTGTGAGAACGTTAGAATACCTGGTAGGCTAACAAATTTATCTCGTGCTAGATCGGCCACAAATTGTACTAACATAGCTGGAGCAACGCGCTCACCAGCAGGCGCACCCTTACAAATCTCTGGCTCCTCACCAATTTGGGTCTATCGCGTACTCCTGCTGGCTCTAGCAATACCTTAATAATAGCAATAGCGGTAGCAGAAATGCCTTAAATACTGCTACTGCCAATTTAGAGCATGATACTAATCTTGTGCAACAACAGTTACAACATTATGCTTTGCATACTTAATTGTGTTTTTTATTGTGTATGAAATATTGTTATTTTTTTTATGAAATTTTATTAATTGATGTACTTTTTTACTAACTAAAAATTTACTTTTTTTTTTGCTTTATTTTACTGTTAATTTTGTTTTATGTAATTTAATAATAATGGCATGTTAGCAGAATTAACCCTAAATAATGAAAATTAATATTTCGAAATTCATTTAGGGAACTCATTTAAATGTTTAAGTTGGCACATTGTGCAAATATACTAAACTGCAGACTAGACTATACACTAGACTATAAAGTAGGATATAGCCTGGATTATAGGACTAGACTAGGCTATAGACTACCCTATAGACTAGACTATAGATTAGACTATAGACTACAGACTAGACTATAGTCTAGACTATAGACTAGACTATTGACTATAGTCTAGACTATAGACTAGACTATTGACTAGACTATAGACTAGACTATAGACTAGACTATAGACTAGACTAGACTATAGACTAGACTATAGAGTAGACTATAGACTAGACTATAGACTAGACTATAGACTAGACTATAGACTAAACTATAGACTAGACTATAGACTAGACTATAGACTAAACTATAGACTAGACTATAGACTAGACTATAGACTAGACTATAGACTAGACTATAGACTAGACTATAGACTAGACTATAGACTAGACTATAGACTAGACTATAGACTAGACTATAGACTAGACTATAGACTAGACTATAGACTAGACTATAGGACTAGACTATAGACTGGACTATAGACTGGACTATAGACTAGACTATAGACTAGACTATAGACTACACTATAGACTAGACTATAGACTAGACTATAGACTAGACTATAGACTAGACTATAGACTAGACTATAGACTAGACTATAGACTAGACTATAGACGAGACTATAGACTAGACTATAGGGCAGACTATAGACTAGGTCATAGACTAGGCTATAGACTAAACTATAGACTAGATTATAGACCAGACTATATACTAGACTATAGACTAGACTTTAGACTAGGCTATAGACTAGACTATAGACTAGTCTATAGACTAGTCTATAGACTAGACTATAGTCTAGACTGTAGACTAGACTATAGACTAGACTATAGGCTAGACTATAGACTATACTACAGAGTAGACTATAGACTAGACTAGACTACAGAGTAGACTATAGACTAGACTATAGACTAGACTAGACTATAGACTAGACTATAGACTAGACTATAGACTAGACTATAGGCTAGACTATAGACTAGACTATAGACGAGACTATAGTCGAGACTATAGACGAGACTATAGACTAGACTATAGACTAGACTATAGACTAGACGATAGACTGGACTATAGACTAGACTATAGACTAGACTATAGACTAGACTATAGACTGAGACTGTAGACTAGACTATAGACTAGACTATAGACTAGACTATAGACTAGACTATAGACTAGACTATAGACTAGACTATAGACTATACTATAGACTAGACTATAGACTATACTATAGACTAGACTATAGACTAGACTATAGACTAGACTATAGTCTAATCTATAGTCTAGTCTATAGTCTAGTCTATAGTCTAGTCTATAGTCTAGTCTATAGTCTAGTCTATAGTCTATACTAGACTATAGACTAGACTTTAGACTATAGTCTCGTCTATAGTCAGTTCAAGTTCTGTTCTAGTTCTACTCCAGTTCCATTCTAGTTGAATTCGTCTAGTTCAGTTTTAGTTCTTTTCCAGTTCTGTTCTATTTCAATTTTAGCTCATTTCAAGTACTGTTCTAGTTTAGTTCTAGATAATTTCTAGTCTATAGTCTGACAGTGAAAATATGCACAATTTACCAAAATTTTAAGCGTTTTCTTGAGCTTTTTAATTGTATTGAAAAAAATAGATTTTATTAATATCCTTTATATTCTTTTTTAAGGTTTTATTTAAATGAGCTGGATGTTTATCTGAAATTTGACTTTTAAGGCTGTCATTTGTGTCATTCTAAAACGGATTTTTTTACAAAATTATTAAACAGAAATAATATTTTTTGACCAAAAATTATTAATTTCTTTTTAAATCAGGTGAATATAAAGATTAAAGCGTAATAGTATTCAATATAAGGAATTTAAAATTAAAATTTTTAATTTAAAAGGATCTCTAGATTTTGGTTTCCTCCAAAACGTTTTCCTATTAGGGGTTATTTCTGTCCAGACATGCCATATGATTTCAATTTAGCATGTCAATTTAAATCTAAATGTTTTAACATAAGAGTTTTATTATTGCTTTATTAGCTCTCCATTTTATATTTAAAAAATTTATTAAAAATTTAAAATGATTATCCTTATAAATTATAAAAAATATCTATATATAAAAACATTTTTATCACTGTTTCTTGTTTATGTAAGTATCATTAATCTGTGATAGTTATTAAAAAATCTTAAATGGTATATAAATACCGACATATATAAAAAGTTCTAGAACTATGTGAAACATTCTAAATATTTACATATTATAGCAAGCAAAAAAATTATTACAAAACAATAATAAAATATAATTTTCAATATATAAAAAAAATCTATATATAAAAATATAAATAAACTATATAAAAACTATAAAAAAACCCTATAAAATCTTAAAGAAAATCAATATATAAAAATAAATAAAAGAATAAAGTTAAAACTACAAGTGAATGGCAGTGCTCATAGTTTTCATTTTAATTAAGAAATAGTTAATTATAATTAAGGCATCAATGGTTTTGAAAGTTTAAAGAAACGTTGAAATGTTAAAAATGATCGTGTCTTCTGAATTTTTGGAATATATTCGAAGAAAATCCTACAAAGGACTCGACTATAGACTACATTTTAGACTAGAATATAGACTAAAGACTAGACTATACAATATATTATACTATCTTGTCTAGACAGTAGACTATACTATCGACTAGACTACAGACTAGACTATACACTAGGATATAGACTAGACTACAGACTAGACTACATACTACACTATAGACTAGACTATAGACGAGACAATAGACTACACTATAGGCGAGACTATAAGCTAGATTATAAACCAGACTATAAACTAGACTATAGTGTAATATATAGTACACAATAAACTAAACCATAGACTAGACTGTAGACTAGACCATTGACTATACTACAGACTTGACTATATACTAAACTACAGTAAAGACTAGACTATCAACTAGACTATAAACTAGACTATACACTAGACTATAGACTAGGCTATAGACTAGACTATGGAATAGACTATAGACTATATACTAGACTATAGAGTAGACTATAGACCACACTATAGACTAGACTATAGACTAGACTATAGACTAGACTATAGACTAGACTGTAGACTAGGCTATAGACTAGACTGTAGACTAGGCTATAGACTAGACTGTAGACTAGGCTATAGACTAGACTGTAGATAAGGTATAGACTAGACTATAAACTAGATTATAAACAAGACAACTATAGACAAGACTATAGACTAGACTATAGACTAGACTATAGACTAGACTATAGACTAGACTATAGACTAGACTATAGACTAGACTATAGACTAGACTATAGACTAGACTATAGACTAGACTATAGACTAGACTATAGACTAGACTAACTAGACTATAGACTAGACTATAGACTAGACTATAGACTAGACTATAGACTAGACTATAGACTAGACTGTAGACTAGACTGTAGACTAGACTATAGGCCACACTATAGATTAGACTATAGACTAATAGACTAGACTAGACTATAGACTAGACTATAGACTAGACTATAGACTAGACTATAGACTAGACTATAGACTAGACTATAGACTAGACTATAGACTAGACTATAGACTAGACTATAGACTAGACTATAGACTAGACTATAGACTAAACTATAGACTAGACTATAGACTAGACTATAGACTAGACTATAGACTAGACTATAGACTAGACTATAGACTAGACTATAGACTAGACTATAGACTAGACTATAGACTAGACTATAGACTAGACTATAGACTAGACTATAGACTAGACTATAGACTAGACTATAGACTAGACTATAGACTAGACTATAGACTAGACTATAGACTAGACTATAGACTAGACAATAGACTAGACTATAGACTAGACTATAGACTAGACTATAGACTAGACTATAGACTAGACTATAGACTAGACTATAGACTAGACTATAGACTAGACTATAGACTAGACTATAGACTAGACTATAGACTAGACTATAGACTAGACTATAGACTAGACTATAGACTAGACTGTAGACTAGACTGTAGACTAGGCTATAGACTGGACTGTTAACTAGGCTTTAGACTAGACTGTAGACTATGATATAGACTAGACTATAAACTAGACTATAAACTAGACTATAAACAAGACTATAGACTACTATAGAATAAACTAAAGACTAGACTATAGAATAAACTAAAGACTAGACTACAGAATAGACTATAGACTACACTATAGAATTGACTATAGACTACATAATATAGCAGACTATACACTAAACTATAGTTTATACTATTGACTAGACTAATGACTAGACTATAGACTAAACTATAGTCTATGGTGTAGACTAAAGTATAGGCTAGACTATAGACTAGTTTATAGACTAGACTATAGACTGGACTATAGAATATACTACATACTAGTCTATAGACTAGACTATAAACTAGACTATAGACTAGACTATAAACTAGACTATAGACTATAAAGTAGCCTAAAGACTAGACTATAGACTAGACTATATACTAGACTATAGAGTAGGCTATAGACTAGACTATATACTAGACTATAGATTAGACTATAGATTAGACTATAGAGTAGACTATAGACTAGACTATATACTAGACTATAGAGTAGACTATAGACTAGACTATATACTAGACTATAGAGTAGGCTATAGAGTAGACTATAGACTAGACTATAGTCTAGACTATAGATTAGAAAATAGACTAGACTATAGACTAGGCTGTAGACTAGACTATAGACTAGACTACAGACTAGACCATAGACTAGACTGTAGACTAGACTATAGTCTAGACTATAGACTAGAATATACACAAGACTATAGATTAGAATGTAAACTAGACTATAGACTAGACTATAGACAAGACTATAGACTAGACTATAGACTAGACTATAGACTAGGCTATAGACTAGACTGTAGACTAGACAATAGACTAGACAATAGACTGACTATAGACTAGACTATAAACTAGACTATAGACTAGACTATAAACTAGACTATAGACTAGACTATAGACTAGACTATAGACTAGACTATAGACTAGACTATAGACTAGACTACAGACTAGACTACAGACTAGACTATAGACTAGACTATAGACTATACTATAGACTTTACTAAAGACCATATAATACTGGACTGGACTAAACTATGAACTGGTTTAGACTATGTACTGGACTAGACTATAAAACGGACTATGAACTGTACTAGACTATAGAACGGACTATGGACTGGACTATAGACTAGATTATATAGACTATAGAATAGACATTAGTTTGGACTATATACTAGACTATAGTCTAGACTATAAACTATACTATAGACTATAGACTATAAAGTGGAATATAGTCCACATAGTAATTTAGAATATAAACTAAAATATAGTCAAGATTACAATCTGGTCTATACACTAGACCACAGTCCGATTTACAGTCCACATATAAACTAAACTATATTTCACACTAGGCTAGATAATATTCCTGACTATAGACTAGATTGTACTCCAGACCCTAGTCTACTAGTATTTTCTATAAAAATTGAGTTTCCCTTAACCGTTTCGTTAAAGTCGCTACTGTGAAAATGTTTGTTAAATAAATTATTAAATATTTAAAAAAAATTAAACTGTATTAAATATGCATGTTGTTTATTTATTTGGTAATTTATTAATTTACTACTTAAGTTGTTTATTTGTTTATGTTCTATTTAAACTAATTTTTATTTAAAACAAATAATTTGGTTTTTTATAAAAATAGCTCAACAGTTGTGAGGCATAATTAAGCAAATATTTGAATTAAAATTAATATTGACTTAAATTTAATATAAAAACATAAAAGTTTTGCGTAATTAATTTACTTATGTGTTTTTTTCACAAAATTTTATTTCGTTTCAAGAACCAGTACTTAGTAGAGAAGATATACATATAACATTATCGCCTGGTGAAAATAGTAAGTGAACTTTATTGGAAGAAGTAATGGAACAAATTCTAAATAATTTATTTCAACTACTTGCAGGAATAATACATTCATGGATTGTTTCGTGACAACATGCGAATAGATCATAATCGTTTGTAAAGGATTGTGATCTTAAGATGAGAAAAGGGTCTCGGTTTATGGTTTGGTCCAAGTTTGGTGGCTTTAATTTAAATATTTTGTATTTTTTTTTTATACTTAAATTTAAATAATTCTAGGTTATTATTTTGTAATATAGAAATTTTAAAAGTTTGCCTTAACAGCAATTTAAACTGTAATTAGTAACTATTTGTAAATAATCAAAAGAAGAATCAAAAATTTTAACAAAATTTAAATTAATTTTTTATTTATTTAATAGAAATGCTGCTGGCAGCTTTATGTGATGTAATTTTAATAAAATAAAACTGTAAACTATTCGTAAATAAATAAATTTTCTATTTTTAACTTATTTTATAAGTAAAAGACTTAATTTTTGTATTGTTAATTAAAAACTAATTTGTTAATTTGTCTGTTTTGTATATAATCTAGAATTCAATACTTTTTTTTACAAGGGGAAAGAACAAACGAAATTTTTAGCACAAATATTTAATGTTAATTTCTCTTTTTTTATAAAATTTTGCAATAATTTAAATATGTTTAGCATAAATTTATTAATAAAAAAACAACAACTAAATAAAGGAAAAAGGATGTAGTATATATAAAAAATGGAATTGGGTGTTTTATATTAAACTGCACTATAGTACAGACTATAGTCCAGCATAAAAACTAAAACTGTAGACTATTAACTAGACCATAAACTATAGACCAAGCTTCAAACTAGACTATAGTCCAGATTATAAAATACACTGTAACGCTGACTATAAACTAGGCCGCTTTCCATACTACAATTTATAGTCTATAAATTAGTCTGTACTCATTACTATAACCAACTCTGAAGTCCATACTATAAACTGGACTATAATCCAGACTATAGGCCAGGCTATCCAGTCTATAAAAAACACCATAACCCAGAATATTTACAATACTATAGATAAGACTATAGTCCAGACCATATACTAATCCAGACCGTAAACTCTATAAACTGGACTATAATCCAGATTATAACTAGACTATAGTCCAGACTATGAAAAAGGCTTTAGTCCAGACTTGAGTATAAACTAGCCTATAGTCTATGGTTCAGAATAACTTTAGTCCAGACTATAAACTATACTATAGACCAGACTATAAACTAGACTATAGTACAGACATACACTATAGAGTAGGCTATAGTCCAGACTTTAGACTAGACTATAGCCCCGACTATAGACTAGACTATAGCCTGGACTATAGACTAGACTATAGTCTGGAATATCGACTAGACTATAGTCCAGACTATAGACTAGACTATATTCCAGAATATATCCAGGCTATAGACTAGACTATAGTCCAGACTATAAACTAGACTATATACTACACTATAGTTCAGACTATAGACTAGACTATAGTCCAGGCTATTGATTAGACTACAGTCCAGACTAGACTATAGTCCAGACTATTGATTAGACTATAGTCCAGACTATAGACTAGACTATAGTTCAGACTATAGACTAGACTATAGTTCAGACTATAGACTATAGGTTGGCCTATAGTATATACAAACTAGATTATAGTCCAGCCTTTAGACTAGACTATAGTCCAGACTATAGAATACACTATAGTCCAAATTATAGACTAGACTATAATCCAGACTATAGACTACGCTATAGTCCAGGCTATCGACTAGACTATAATCCAGACTATAGACTAAAGTGTAGTCCAGACTATAGACTAGACTATAGTCCAATCTATAGGCTATAGTCCAGACTATAGACTATAGTACAAACTATTGATTAGACTATAGTCCAGACTAGACTATAGTCCAGCTTTTAGACTAGACTATAGTCCAGACTATAGACTAGACTATAGTCCAAATTATAGACTAGACTATAGACCAGACTATAGACTAGACTATAGTCCAGACTATCGTCCAGACTATCGACTACACTATAATCCAGACTATAGACTAAAGTATAGTCCAGACTATAGACTATACTATAGTCCAATCTATAGACTATAGTGCAGACTATAGACTATAGAACAGACTATATACTAGACTGGAGACTATAGTTCAAACTATAGACTAGAGTATAGAATAGACTATAGGTTGGCCTATAGTATATACAGACTATAGACTAGACTATAGTCCAGCCTTTAGATTAGACTATAGTCCAGACTATCGTCCAGACTATCGACTACACTATAATCCAGACTATAGACTAAAGTATAGTCCAGACTATAGACTATACTATAGTCCAATCTATAGACTATAGTGCAGACTATAGACTATAGAACAGACTATATACTAGACTGGAGACTATAGTTCAAACTATAGACTAGAGTATAGAATAGACTATAGGTTGGCCTATAGTATATACAGACTATAGACTAGACTATAGTCCAGCCTTTAGACTAGACTATAGTCCAGACTATAGACTAGGCTATAGTCCAGACTATAGACTAGACTATAGTCCAAATTATAGACTAGACTATAGTCCGGACTATAGACTAGACTATAGTCCAGACTATCGACTAGACTATAATCCAGGCTATAGACTAAAGTATAGTCCAGACTATAGAACTAGACTACAGTCCAGTCTATAGTCTATAGTCCTATAGACTATAGTCCAGACTATAGTCTAGAATATAATCCAGACTATAGAATAGACTGTAGACTAGTCTATAGTCCATACTATAGACTATAGTCCATACTATAGACTAGACTATAGTCCAGACTATAGACTAGACTATAGTCCATACTATCGACTAGACTATAGTAAAGACTATACACTAGACTATAGTTCACACTATAGACTAGACTGTAGTCCACACTTTAGACTAGACTATAGTCCAGACTAAAGACTAGACTGTAGTTCAAACTATAGACTGTACTGTAGAATTAAAATGTGTATCCTTAAATTGTGAAAGGCTGTGATCACCCTGTATCTCTTATAACTTAAAACTTTTATAATAAACAGTGTCTTTTAATAAAAGTCATTCCAAGTCTTTACATATTACTTTTTACATCATTGACGTCTGTCTGCCTTAATACAAAACTAAGTCAAGTCTACAAAAAAGAAAAGAAAACTAAATATTTGTTAATAAACTTTAATTACAAACTTATTTTAATTGAAACAATTTAAACTATAATAGAAGAAAAAAAAAAACAATTCCACAATACCTTCTCCCGTGGGCAAACATTATAATTTAAATATAAAATTCTTTAAATTTGTAATAAAACATTAAATACATATTTGTTTAAAAATATGAAACCTATAACATTTTAATAAAAAGTTATTAAATTCAACGAATTTAAAGGCTCCCTGCCTTTCTGAAGAACTGCTTACAAAGAACTAGTGATATGACTAGTGGAAAATACAGTGATACTTTCTAAATTAATTCACAACAATTTTAATAAAGTTCAGATCCCATATTATGATATCTATATTATGGTCTCTGCGATCACAAGTTAGTTGTTCCCTATACATTAGTTACATTATCATTCTCTTTTCTGTAATGTTTACAGTCTTTAAATGATCTGTGCATCAGATGGCATTTTCTAAATTTATGCTTTAATTATGTTAGTAGTGCTTCCTGTGTGGCATTATTTAAAATAATGAATTAACCAATTATGAAAGTTAGTTAATTTTACATCAATAGTAATTTAAACACTCTAATTTTACACATTATAAGCAGAATCTATAGTCTAGTCTATAGTGTGGTCTATAGTCGTGTCTATTGTTAGTCTATAGTAGTTATAGTCTATGTCTATAGTCTAGTCTATAGTCGATTCTATAGTCTATAGTCTAGTCTAATAGTCTAGTCTATCGGTCTAGTCTATAGTCTAGTCTATAGTCAGGCTATAGTCTAGTCTTATAGTCTGTCTATAGTCAGTCTATAGTCTAGGTCTATAGTCTAGTCTATAGGTCTAGTTCTATAGTCTAGTCTTATAGTCTAGTCTATAGTCTAGTCTATAGTCTAGTCTATAGTCTAGTCTATAGTCTAGTCTATAGTCTCGTCTATAGTTCTAGTCTCTAGTCTAGTCTATAGTCTAGTCTATAGTCTAGTCTATAGTCTAGTCTATAGTCTAGTCTATAGTCTAGTCTATAGTCTAGTCTATAGTCTAGTCTATAGTCTAGTCTATAGTCTAGTCTATAGTCTAGTCTATAGTCTAGTCTATAGTCTAGTCTAGTCTATAGTCTAGTCTATAGTCTAGTCTATAGTCTAGTCTATAGTCTAGTCTATAGTCTAGTCTATAGTCTAGTCTATAGTCTAGTCTATAGTCTAGTCTATAGTCTAGTCTATAGTCTAGTCTAGTCTAGTCTATAGTCCTAGTCTATAGTCTAGTCTATAGTCTAGTCTATAGTCTAGTCTATAGTCTAGTCTATAGTCTAGTCTATAGTCTATAGTCTAGTCTATAGTCTAGTCTTAGTCTAGTCTATAGTCTAGTCTTAGTCTAGTCTATAGTCTAGTCTATAGTCTAGTCTATCTATAGTCTAGTCTACTATAGTCTTATAGTCTAGTCTATAGTCTAGTCTATAGTCTAGTCTATAGTCTAGTCTATAGTCTAGTCTATAGTCTAGTCTATAGTCTAGTCTATAGTCTAGTCTATAGTCTAGTCTATAGTCTAGTCTATAGTCTAGTCTATAGTCTAGTCTATAGTCTAGTCTATAGTCTAGTCTATAGTCTAGTCTATAGTCTAGTCTATAGTCTAGTCTATAGTCTAGTCTATAGTCTAGTCTATAGTCTAGTCTATAGTCTAGTCTAGTCTAGTCTAGTCTATAGTAGTCTATAGTCTAGTCTATAGTCTAGTCTATAGTCTAGTCTATAGTATAGTCTATAGTCTAGTCTATAGTCTAGTCTATAGTCTAGTCTATAGTCTAGTCTATAGTCTAGTCTATAGTCTAGTCTATAGTCTAGTCTATAGTCTAGTCTATAGTCTAGTCTATAGTCTAGTCTATAGTCTAGTCTATAGTCTAGTCTATAGTCTAGTCTATAGTCTAGTCTATAGTCTAGTCTATAGTCTAGTCTATAGTCTAGTCTATAGTCTAGTCTATAGTCTAGTCTATAGTCTAGTCTATAGTCTAGTCTATAGTCTAGTCTATAGTCTAGTCTATAGTCTAGTCTATAGTCTAGTCTATAGTCTAGTCTATAGTCTAGTCTATAGTCTAGTCTATAGTCTAGTCTATAGTCTAGTCTATAGTCTAGTCTATAGTCTAGTCTATAGTCTAGTCTATAGTCTAGTCTATAGTCTAGTCTAGTCTAGTCTATAGTCTAGTCTATAGTCTAGTCTATAGTCTAGTCTATAGTCTAGTCTATAGTCTAGTCTATAGTCTAGTCTATAGTCTAGTCTATAGTCTAGTCTATAGTCTAGTCTATAGTCTAGTCTATAGTCTAGTCTATAGTCTAGTCTATAGTCTAGTCTATAGTCTAGTCTATAGTCTAGTCTATAGTCTAGTCTATAGTCTAGTCTATAAAGGCTCCTGCCTTTCTGAAGTCTATAGTCAAGTCCATAGTCCAGTCTATAGTCTAGTCTATATTCTAGTCTAGTCTAGTCTAGTCTATAGTATAGTCGATAATCTAGTCTGTTATCTAGTCTATAGTCTAGTCTAGTCCAGTCTGAAGTCTAGTCTATAGTCCAGTCTATAGTCTAGTCTATAATCTAGTCTATAGTCAAGTGTATAGTCTAGTCTATAGTCAAGTGTATATTCTAGTCTATAGGCTAGTATATAGTCTTTTCTATAGTTTAGTATATAATCTAGTCTATTATCAAGTGTAGAGTCTAGTCTAGTCTATAGTCCAGTCTATACTCTAGTCTATAATCTGGTCTATAGTCCAGTCCAGTCTATGTATAGCCTACTCTTTACTCTAGCCTAGCTTCTAATCTTAAATATAGTTTATAATCTAGTAAATGGTATCCTATTCCCATAATTTTAAATGAATTCTTCACAAACGAATGATTTAGTTAAAAATGCCTCATTCGTTTTAACTAATAATATAAATTTATGTAAATAGAAACAAATATTTATACATAAAACCACAAAACTTTATAATAAAACTTAAGCAAAATTTACTATAAATACCGTTAAACAATTTAGAAAACAGTTTAAAGTAGCAAAAACTTTTATAGCAAAATGTGGAAGTTTATAAGTCTATTAATCTGCAGCTATACAACATATGGTGGGTTTAGGGTAACGGAAAAGGGGGGAAATAGAAAAACAATTAAACAAATTAATAGAAAACAGCTTTTAACAGAAAACACTTTCTTTTTTAAATGCTTTTAGTTTTCGCAGCTGCTGCTAAGACAAGCGGTTGTTCTATTAAACTACCCACAGATATCAAAGGATTTGCTCCCGTCATCTTGACCGCAGTGTCCAAAAATGACTATAAACTTTTCAAACCTACTGGAGAGATAACAAACCTAAAAGAAGGTACAAAATTACGCTTGGTTTGTACCGGCAATAAAAATGTTTTTGAGAATACAAGTTATGATACATTGGAACTGAAATGTTCAAAAGGCAATTTTGTGGATGCAAATAATAATGTTCAGCCTTTAAGTGAATTGGTGTGCAAATCTATACCTAGTTCCTCTATGAAAATAACCAACGAAGAGTGTTCAAATGGAAATGGTTATATTTATGAAACAGGTTTTCAAATAGAAGATGAATTTTATGGTCCTGTGTTTGAAATCTGTTATAGTAATGTTACCGAGAATACTTTCTATACACATGGTATACTAAATGGAGCTGCTATGGATTGTGAGTTTTAGTTTTAAAGTTAGTGTTTTTAATCAGATATTAATAATGTTTTTACTCCAGACTCCATTTCGGAAAGTACCCGCCGTTCTTTTACCGCTGATGGCATGCAATTCTCTACCACTAAAACGAATACATTCTATACTCAGAAAAATCAAATCAAACGTTTTGAGCAATATTTCGGCAGCGATCAAACTTATATCGACACCAAAAACTTCTTGGCTCGAGGCCATTTAGCAGCCGATGCAGATTTTATTTTTGGCTATGAAAAACTGGCCACCTATTATTATGCCAATGTAGCGCCTGAATTTCAATTAATAAATGCTGGCAACTGGTTAAGGGTAGAAGAATTGGCACGTTCAGCTTCAGCCAACTATAAAGATGATATCGAATCCTATAACAGTTATATGGGTATTTTAAAATTACCCAATAATAATGGTGATTTGGTGGAAATCTATTTGGATGATACACAAAAAATCGAAGTTCCTAAGTATTATTTTAAGGTTTTAGTCCATCGAGCTTCAGATTCGTCTATAGTTTTTGTTACGGTGAATAATCCTTACATAGAGGATGGTCCCGCAGAGGAGTTTTGCACAAATGTATGTGAAAAATCTGGTTTAGTACATGCCAATTTCCCTGACGTAACAAAAGGTTATACATTCTGTTGCGAGTTGGAAGAATTCAAAGAGTTGGTTGATTTCTTGCCTGCCGAGGTGCAGGGTAGTAAATTGTTGAAGCGTAATCTTTAAGTTGTTTTTGGAGAAGTTGTTACTTCTGGAATAAAGTTGATTGGACATAAAGTGAAGTATTTTGTTCTATGAAAACCAAAATTAGAGAAATATTTAAATATTTTGAGAAATTTCTTAGGACCCGACTATAAACAATTATCTATACTAAAGTGTAGACAAGATACCAAAATAGCCTAGAGACTAGAATCTATACTAGATTGTAGACCTAACTAAAAAATAGACTGGACTAGGATAAAGACTAATTTAATGACTAAACAACTGACTAGACTTCGTAGCAATATCTAGTCTAGACTACTTTACAGACTATAGCCTGTAAGTCTAGTCTATAGTCCAGTCTATTGGCTAATCTATAGTCCAGTTTATAGTCTAGTCAATAGTCTAGTATATAGACTAATCTGTAGTCTAGTGTATAGTCTCTAATCTAGTCTATCGTCTAGTCTATAGTATAGACTATAGACAAGACTATAAACTAGATTATAGACTAGACCATGGACTAGACTATAGAGTCTATAGTCTAGTCTATAGTCAAGTCTATAGTCTAGTCTATAGTCTAGTCTATAGTCTAGTCTATAGTCTAGTCTATAGTCTAGTCTATAGTCTAGTCTATAGTCTAGTCTTTAGTCTAGTCCTTAGTCTAGTCTATAGTATAGTCTATAGTCTAGTCTATAGTCTAATCTTTGTCTAGTCTATCTTAATCTTAGTCTATAGTCCAGTCTATAGGCTAGACTATAGTCCAGTTTATAGTCTAGTGAATTGTCTAGTCTATAGTATAATCTGTAGTCTAGTGTATAGTATCTAATCTAGTCTATCGTCTAGTCTATAGTGCTGACTATAGACAAGACTATAAACTAGATTATAGACTAGACCATGGACTAGACTATAGATTCTATAGTCTAGCCTATAGTCTAGTCTACAGTCTATTCTATAGTCTAGTCTATAGTCTAGTCTATAGTCTAGTCTATAGTCTAGTCTATAGTTTAGTCTATAGTCTAGTCTATAGTCTAGTCTATAGTCTAGTCTATAGTCTAGTCTACAGTCTATTCTATAGTCTAGTCTATAGTCTAGTCTATAGTCTAGTCTATAGTCTAGTCTACAGTCTATTCTATAGTCTAGCCTATAGTCTAGCCTATAGTCTAGTCTATAGTCTAGTCTATAGTCTAGTCTAGTCTATAGTCTAGTCTATAGTCTAGTCTATAGTCTAGTCTATAGTCTAGTCTATAGTCTAGTCTATAGTCTAGTCTATAGTCTAGTCTATAGTCTAGTCTATAGTCTAGTCTAGTCTAGTCTATAGTCTAGTCTATAGTCTAGTCTATAGTCTAGTCTATAGTCTAGTCTATAGTCTAGTCTATAGTCTAGTCTACAGTCTATTCTATAGTCTAGTCTATAGTCTAGTCTATAGTCTAGTCTATAGTCTAGTCTACAGTCTAGTCTATAGTCTAGTCTATAGTCTAGTCTATAGTCTAGTCTATAGTCTAGTCTATAGTCTAGTCTATAGTCTAGTCTATAGTCTAGTCTATAGTCTAGTCTATACTCTAGTCTATATTCTAGTCTATACTCTAGTCTATAGTTTAGTCTTCAGTCTATTCTATATTCTAGTCTATAGTCTAGTCTATAGTCTAGTCTATAGTCTAGTCTACAGTCTAGTCTAAAGTCTAGTCTATAGTCTAGTCTACAGTCTAGTCTATAGTCCAGTCTATAGTCTAGTCTATAGTCTAGTCTATAGTCTAGTCTATAGTCTAGTCTATAGTTTAGTCTATAGTCTAGTCTATAGTCTAGTCTATAGTCTAGTCTATAGTCTAGTCTACAGTCTATTCTATAGTCTAGTCTATAGTCTAGTCTATAGTCTAGTCTATAGTCTAGTCTACAGTCTATTCTATAGTCTAGCCTATAGTCTAGCCTATAGTCTAGTCTATAGTCTAGTCTATAGTCTATAGTCTAGTCTATAGTCTAGTCTATAGTCTAGTCTGTAGTCTAGTCTATAGTCTAGTCTATAGTCTAGTCTATAGTCTAGTCTATAGTCTAGTCTATAGTCTAGTCTATAGTCTAGTCTATAGTCTAGTCTATAGTCTAGTCTATAGTCTAGTCTATAGTCTAGTCTATAGTTTAGTCTATAGTCTAGTCTATAGTCTAGTCTATAGTCTAGTCTATAGTCTAGTCTACAGTCTATTCTATAGTCTAGTCTATAGTCTAGTCTATAGTCTAGTCTATAGTCTAGTCTATAGTCTAGTCTACAGTCTATTCTATAGTCTAGCCTATAGTCTAGCCTATAGTCTAGTCTATAGTCTAGTCTATAGTCTAGTCTAGTCTATAGTCTAGTCTATAGTCTAGTCTATAGTCTAGTCTATAGTCTAGTCTATAGTCTAGTCTATAGTCTAGTCTATAGTCTAGTCTATAGTCTAGTCTATAGTCTAGTCTATAGTCTAGTCTAGTCTATAGTCTAGTCTATAGTCTAGTCTATAGTCTAGTCTATAGTCTAGTCTATAGTCTAGTCTATAGTCTAGTCTATAGTCTAGTCTATAGTCTAGTCTATAGTCTAGTCTATAGTCTAGTCTATAGTCTAGTCTATAGTCTAGTCTATAGTCTAGTCTATAGTCTAGTCTAGTCTAGTCTAGTCTAGTCTATAGTCTAGTCTATAGTCTAGTCTATAGTCTAGTCTATAGTCTAGTCTATAGTCTAGTCTATAGTCTAGTCTATAGTCTAGTCTATAGTCTAGTCTATAGTCTAGTCTATAGTCTAGTCTATAGTCTAGTCTATAGTCTAGTCTATAGTCTAGTCTATAGTCTAGTCTATAGTCTAGTCTATAGTCTAGTCTATAGTCTAGTCTATAGTCTAGTCTATAGTCTAGTCTATAGTCTAGTCTATAGTCTAGTCTATAGTCTAGTCTAGTCTATAGTCTAGTCTATAGTCTAGTCTATAGTCTAGTCTATAGTCTAGTCTATAGTCTAGTCTATAGTCTAGTCTATAGTCTAGTCTATAGTCTAGTCTATAGTCTAGTCTATAGTCTAGTCTATAGTCTATTAAGAAAATCTAAATAAAGATTATTAATTGTGTAAAAAATATTATTTTTATTTATCCAAATCCAAGAATTATCAATATTAACAAAACAAACTAACAAGTCCAAAAACCAGATATTGAATTTTCAAAAACCAAATACTTCAATTTAAAATAACCATCTTCTCTTCAAGCATTACCCTCCAAAATAGCTTGAATTTCCAAAAATGTTTTACCCTTCGTTTCAGGAACAATAAACAGCACAAAGAAAACGGCCAACAGAGTTAAAGCGGAAAATATCCAAAATGTTAGACCAATACCAATGGCTTCGCTAACAAACGGATAGGTATTGGTAACCAAAAATGCTGCCAACCAATTGGTAGTACCCGCAATGGAACCGGCAATGCCCTTAATATCTTCCGAAAACAATTCAGCCATAAGAAGCCAAGGTATAGCGCCAAAACCACAGGAAAACATAATGACATATAAACAGCAACAGACCACTGGTAACCAAGCAATAGATTTAGCAAATTCTTCATCTCCGGCTTTTTTGAAAAAGTAAAATCCCACTCCAAAGGTACAAACACTCATAAAACTAGCCGAGATCATTAGAAGAGGTTTACGACCCACACGATCTATGAAAAACAAGGAAACAAAGGTAGCCACCACCATCATGGTACCCACTAAAATGGTACAGGTAGTATCAGTAAAACCAGTTTCGGCATCTTTAAAAATTCCAGTAGAATACATGACAATGGCGTTAATGCCACTCAATTGTTGAAACAGCATGAGAGAGATTGATACTGCAAAGGCTCGTAAAGTCGATTTCTTGACTAGAGATTTAGCTACTGAAACTTGATTTTCCTTGGAATATTTATCATTTGCCACAAATTCTGCCATTTCTCCAGATATATCATAATCCTTGCCTCTTAGCCATTGTAAAGATTTCTGGGCTTTTTCCATATTTCCTTTGAGTACAAAAAAGGCGGGTGATTCGGGCAGTAATAGGAAAAGTAAAGCCATTAATATTGGTACAATAGCGCACAGTATCGAAGACACCATTACTTCAGCCATAGCACCCACCACATAGACATATAGAATTCCACTAGTGATAAGCATTTGAAAGAAACAACCCAAAACACCGCGTATTTTGGTCTGAGCTATTTCTGTGGTATATATAGGCGCTATAATGCAAAAGGCACCACCACACATGCCCAATAAAAAGCGTGCCGCATACAACATAAAAACATTTGAGGCCAATAGAATTAACACCCAACCGAGCACAAAAGGAGGCACTAATATCAGCATAGTCCATTTTCTACCAATTACATTTATCACATAACCAATTGGTACACAAACACAGGCCGCACCCAAGGCCATTAAAGAACCCACCCAGCCATATTCAGCACTCGAAACATCAAAGCCCAAACTGCCATCTTTTATGTCGGGCTCTACGGGAGCTGTCCAGCCAATAACTGTGCCGAGAGCAAAAGAGCCCATGGCAGCTGATAAACCCGCTACGTATTGGGGTAAAAGTTTAGCTTCTGCAGCCATATCAGGATTTTATTTTGATATTTAGTTTGTATTAATATTTAAAAATATTATTTTAAAATATATATTGTGAAAAAATACGTCTTGAGAAAAATATATCAAATTATTTGACAAATTTTATATGGAGTTCTACGTTGGAAAATTACTTTTGATTCTAGATATTTAGATCAGGGAAATACTTTGATAATAATAATCATTTATACATTAGGTTATAACTATCGATATTTTCTGATTTCAAAATTACACTAAATAATAGATTATAGACTAGACTATAGACTAGACTATAAACTAGACAATACATCAGACTATAGAATAGACTATAGAATAGAGATAGACTAGAGTAGAACATGGACTATACTATAATCTAGACTATAAAATAGACTATAGACTAGACTATAGATCAGACTATAGACTAGACTGTAGACCGGATTTTAGACCAGACTTTAGACCAGTCTAGACTACAGACTAGACTACAGACTAGACTATAGACTAGACTATAGACTAGTCTAGACGATAGACTAGAGACTATAGACTAGACTAAACTATAGACTGGACTATAGACTAGACTATAGACTATACTATAGACTAGACTATAGACTAGACTATAGACTATACTATAGACTAGAAAATAGACTAGACTATAGACTAAACTATAGACTAGACTATAGACTAGACTATAGACTAGACTATAGACTAGACTATAGACTAGACTATAGACTAGACTATAGACTAGACTATAGACTAGACTATAGACTAGACTATAGACTAGACTATAGACTAGACTATAGACTAGACTATAGACTAGACTATAGACTAGACTAGACTAGACTATAGACTAGACTATAGACTAGACTATAGACTAGACTATAGACTAGACTATAGACTAGACTATAGACTAGACTATAGACTAGACTATAGACTAGACTATAGACTAGACTATAGACTAGACTATAGACTAGACTATAGACTAGACTATAGACTAGACTATAGACTAGACTATAGACTAGACTATAGACTAGACTATAGACTAGACTATAGACTAGACTATAGACTAGACTAGATAGACTATAGTAGACTATAGACTAGACTATAGACTAGACTATAGACTAGACTATAGACTAGACTATAGACTAGACTATAGACTAGACTATAGACTAGACTATAGACTAGACTATAGACTAGACTATAGACTAGACTATAGACTAGACTATAGACTAGACTATAGACTAGACTATAGACTAGACTATAGACTAGACTATAGACTAGACTATAGACTAGACTATAGACTAGACTATAGACTAGACTATAGACTAGACTAGCTATAGACTAGACTATAGACTAGACTATAGACTAGACTATAGACTAGACTATAGACTAGACTATAGACTAGACTATAGACTAGACTATAGACTAGACTATAGACTAGACTATAGACTAGACTATAGACTAGACTATAGACTAGACTATAGACTAGACTATAGACTAGACTATAGACTAGACTATAGACTAGACTATAGACTAGACTATAGACTAGACTATAGACTAGACTATAGACTAGACTATAGACTAGACTATAGACTAGACTATAGACTAGACTATAGACTAGACTATAGACTAGACTATAGACTAGACTATAGACTAGACTATAGACTAGACTATAGACTAGACTATAGACTAGACTATAGACTAGACTATAGACTAGACTATAGACTAGACTATAGACTAGACTATAGACTAGACTATAGACTAGACTATAGACTAGACTATAGACTAGACTATAGACTAGACTATAGACTAGACTATAGACTAGACTATAGACTAGACTATAGACTAGACTATAGACTAGACTATAGACTAGACTATAGACTAGACTATAGACTAGACTATAGACTAGACTATAGACTAGACTATAGACTAGACTATAGACTAGACTATAGACTAGACTATAGACTAGACTATAGACTAGACTATAGACTAGACTATAGACTAGACTATAGACTAGACTATAGACTAGACTATAGACTAGACTATACAATAGACTAGACTATAGACTAGACTATAGACTAGACTATACAATAGACTAGACTATAGACTAGACTATAGACTAGACTATAGGCTAGACTATAGACTTGACTATAGGCTAGACTATAGACTTGACTATAGACTAGACTATAGACTTGACTATAGACTAGACTATAGACTTGACTACAGACTTTACTGTAGACTAGACTTTAAACCAGAATTTAGACCTGATTTTAGACCTGCCTTTATATTAGACAATAGTCGAGACTACAGACTAAACAATAGATTGCAGTGTGTTGAAAAATGTCAGCCCTATTAATGGTAATGTGTAATAATGCAAGCAAAAAAAAATTTTGTTCTTCTATAACTTTTTTTATCAAAATTTAACCATTCGTGAGGCGTATTCCATTTGTCAAATTTTCAAAATTGCATGACAAGTTCTTTTATCTCAAAACAAAAATACGACTACAGTAGCTTTTCGGTTTAACGAAAAATTTTAATTGAATTTAATATGTAATAGGATTTGTGGAACGAAATAATACCGTTTGTCTATAACGAGGGTTTTATGAAGGGTTCATAAGTAGCTAGAGAAACAACAAAGTTTCTTGGGACTTAAATGGCAAAATCGGTCAAGTTTTAGATTTCTTATGACATTAACACTTTTATTTTAATTCGTCAAAGCCTTAAGCCAGTGTAATTATATTTTTAGAAATTATATGCAAATTCTATGATAAAAACAAGTAAGAATGTATAGTTGGGCATCGCCCACCGTATGATACCCTACAACAATGAAAATTATTTTAATAATTTCTTAACAAAAATATGATTTTCTGAAAGAAGCTTTATATGAGAGCAAAGATGTTTACATGGACGGAGGGACAGGCTCGACTCTGAGCAGATTGGTATTTGTTAAGGTGGGTATGGGACCAATATTTTTGGAGGTTACAAAAATCAGCACAAACGCATAATACCCTTACCACTATAGTGGTGTATGGTTTAATTATGATTCAGAATAAAACTATAAATACAGCTTCAACAATTAGAAATGCTTTAAAGTAATTGTAATTGTTCATTTGTACATTCATTGCGACAAGATGTGCAAATTTTGTGTTCTAGTAATTTGCAGTTTCACAACATTTGGTAGGTATAAAAACATTTAAGTTACAAACCAGACTCTAGATTATACCATAGACTATAGATTAGATCATAGACTATACTATATAGTCTATAGTCTAGTCTATAGACTCTCGACTAGATTAGACTTGATATACATATATTTCTCTTTTTAGCTATTGTAACTGCCAATTGTTATATCAATCTTTCAACGGATATTCAAATACGTTCACCAGTTATCTTGGTTTCATCCTTTGGCCATAACTACAAACTATTCAAGCCTAGCGGTCAAGTTGCCCTCATCAATAACGGTGCAAATTTGTTATTGGCCTGTCCCACTGTTAATCGAAATAAATTTGTGAATACAGATCAAAACATACAGCAGGTCATACAATTGACATGTGACAATGGTAATTTTATATATTCGAAAACTAGAAATAGAGCTAATTTCAAGCAATTATTATGCCAAATTGCACCGATGTCTATGTTGCAAATTACTGGGCGTAGTTGTGCAAATGGTCAAGGTGTTATTTATGAAACCGGTTTCAATATCAATCAACAATTTTATGGACCAGTATTTGAGATATGTTACGATAACACAAATGAATATACCTACTATACGCATAATACCTTGAATGGTGCGGCCATGGCATGTAAGTATAAGGACTATTGCTATTAGCCCTTTAATTAATTTTGGTTTGGAAATTTCCCTAATTTGCCTTTCTTCACTTTAGATGCTATTTCCACGGGAGATCAACGTCGTACTTTTACCGCTGATGGCATGAATTATATAACTAGTCAAATGAATAAGTTCTACCAAGAACAAAAAAATCGCTTTATAAGCAATTTTGGCGTTCGTCAAAATTATGTAGATAATGATATTCACCGATTTTTGGCACGTGGCCATTTATCAGCCGATGCTGATTTTATTTTTCCATATGAAAAATTAGCTACATATTTTTATGTCAATACAGCGCCTGAATTTCAAACAATTAACACCGGCAATTGGTTAAGAGTAGAGGAATTGGCACGAGCTGTCTCGATCAGCTACCAAGATGACATCGAATCATATAATGGTTATATAAGTGTTTTAGCATTACCTCGAGATGACCGAAATTTAGTAGAAATATATTTGGATGACATACGCAAAATCGAAGTTCCCATCTTTTTCTATAAGATATTGTTGCATAAAGCCAGTGATTCTGCTATAGTTTTTTTAACTGTCAATAATCCTTATTTACTTAAAGCGGATATACCAAAAGTGAAATTGTGTACAGATGTTTGTCAACAATCGGGTTTAATACATCCAAATTTTCCAGATGAAACAAAAGGTTATACATTTTTTTGTGAATTAAATGAGTTCAAACTTAGGGCGGGCGCCAATTGGCTTCCCGCTCAGGTTATGGCTAATAATTTATTAAAACATCGTCTGCAGCATGGTTGACAGATATTTTTGCAATCTTAATTATATTGTTTTAATTGAATAAAGATTTTTGTTAAAATTAAGGGTTTTCAAAACTATAGAATATAATACAGATACGAATATAGTCTCGACTATAGAACAAACTGTTGTGTCGACTATAGAATAGACTATAGTCTCAAGTATAGAATGCCTGAACTAAAACTGAACAAAAACTAGAAATAACTATATCTGAACTAGAACTGAACCAGAATCTGAAGTCTTTGACGTCAACTATCCCCATTAAAAGTAATGCCAATACTGAGACCATATAGATTTTAATTTTCTGATCATTAAAAATTTTAGATATTTGGGTAGTTATATCTGTAGTTTGTTTGCGTTCTTAACCATAAATGACTTTCATAAATATTTAAGCACAAATTTATCAAAATCGAGATAAATATGTATTATTAAAGAAATAAAATACTTTCAAATTTTCTAATTTATTCAAAGTTTAAAAATTTACCTTTAAAATTTCCTTAAAAATAAAATTAAAAACTCGGCAACCCTATTTCCTTCGGCTTGTTTTCCGAATTTCTCGCATTAATTAACAACCAAAATTTGCTTAATTCTTATTTTCTTTCTCTAAAAAAATAATAATTTATTTTAATATTATTAAATTAATAGAATTTTAAAAATTACAACACATTCTTACATAATAAATTTCCTTCCCCGCAACAAAGCAAACATTTGCCGAATGCTGGAAGGCATACGACTAGCTTTACACTATTTTTCATACTTTTTGTTTTTTCTCCATATCTTCGAGTGCTTTCATTATTTGCAAATCTTGTTTTTCGCGATGATCACGTATGGCCTGTTGTATGGCTTCGCGATGTCCCAAATTCTCGGGTGGATAAAGTTCACGTTTCTTTTTGGTCACCCATTCTTCGAAGTAGGCCGGTTGATTGAAAATGTGAAACATCGCTACGGGAAATGTCATGTACATGCCCATTTTAAAGATTTCCAAAGTCCAGTTGCCCATGGCGAGAAATTTAATGTTTATATATGCTGATGGAATTGTAAAAAGGTAATTTGTTAAAAAAAAAAATAAATTGCAAATTTAGTTTTGTTTAAAAAAATTTACCTTTTCGTTCGATAAATAAACACAGCTGATTGTTTTGTACAATAACAGCAGCAAACACAAACTAGAGCTCTGTGCCGACAAACATTAACGGCGGTGTTGTTTGAAACTAAAAATAACGTCGGCAGCTTAAAGCCGACTTAGTTTTCAGTTGTGTTTTTAAATTGTTTAATGATTTTAAATAAAAAACGAAATCCTAGTGTTTAAAAAATGGGATTTTGGAAGCATCTATTTTTAAAATTGTGATTTTTGGAATTATCAAAATAAAATCGGTACTTAATACAACTTAATAGAAAAAGAGCAATAGTCTGCTTCGTTGAATGTGCGTAAAATCCATAGAGTACATAGAGGAGAAACTCTGCTTTCAAGGTTTCTCTATCATTTTTAATATTTGTTCCACATTTTTAGATAAATCTCCTTTTTTATAGAAAGTCTCTACAAAGGAGACACATTTTGTATAGAAAACATCTCTGCAAACTCTACACTTGTTGTATAGAAAAAAGTCTTTACATTGGAGACCCTTTTTGTATAGAAAGTCTTTACAAAGTAGTAATTTTTTATAGAAAAAGGCTGCACAAAGTAGACACTTTTTATATAGAAAAAAATCTCTAAGAAGTTGAATCTTGTCGTATAGAAAAATTCTTTAGAATAAGTCTTCACAAAGCAGACACCTTTTCTATATAAAAAAAACAGTTTCCATAGAAAACACTTTTTCTCTCTGTTTCTCTGTTCTCTTTTTCTAAGTTTTTACTAAATAGACACTTTTTCTATAGAAAAAGTCTTTACAATTTTTTTCCATAGAAATAGTCTTTACAAATTAGACTCATTTTCTAAAGAAAATATCTTTACAATGTAGACGCTATACTATAGAAAAAAATCTCTTTACAAATTAGACACATTTTCTATAGAAAAAATCTGCAAAAAGTAGACAATTTTCAATAGAAAAAGTCCTTACAAAGCAGACACACTCTATAGAAAAAAAGTCTTTATAAAGTAGAAACTTTTTGGAACACTTTTTCTATAACAAAATCCTCTATAAATGAGACACTTTTTCTATAAAAATGTCTCTACAAACCAGACACTTTTTATGGAAAAAGACTCTACCAAGCAGAGAAGAATGTTTTCTATATAAAAATCATCTACCAAGTAGACTCTTTTTATATAGCAAAATTATCATCTAAAAAAACCTTTTCCAATACTACGAACTTTTCCTTCTCTGTAGTTATGTTCTTACTGCAGTAAATGAGAATCATTAGGTATCCGACCTGTGATATTTCTCTTCTTTATATATTATCTCTCTATATTTCTAGAGATTCAATTAAACTGTTTACAAATTATATACAAGGAACACGCGTTATAGTTCTCAAGCTTTTTGATTACATATTTATACAGACAAGTAAACAATACAATTGGTTTGAAACGACTGCATATGCGACACTTTGAATACACTACATAATTTCCCTCTTTGCTTGATTTCCTAAAACAAATCGGTAATATCTATCTTTTATGTGTTATTTTTAAAACTTTTTCTATAAATTGTGTACTCTTTCTGTACTTTTTGAAATAATCATATTCTGATTTTTAAACATCCTTATTATCCGTTTAATAAAAAGGAGCGTGGTCGGACAAATTAGGCACACAAGCAATCTAAACGTTTTACTTCAATACCACATGAAAATTGTTTCCAAATTAGTTCTTTTAGTTAACGATTTTCACATTATATTTATGTAGACCACCTTAATATATTGTACTAAACCTATCGAAATATTTAATAACTAATACCCAGTTACAAACTTTAATACAAACCCCCATAAACAATAATATACCCCAGATAACAAGCAGCACCCTCTGCTTAGTACTAACAATAACAATTAACAAGTGTTTAACATTATTTAGGTTAACAGACCTCCTCATCTATAGTATGGACCCTTTAGAAATAAAACTTTTCCATTGTTATTATAAAAGTGTTTCTCTGATAAAATCTACTTCTAGTTTGAACTTGTTTGAGAAGACGTCTATTAAAGAAAACAATATTAAATTATTATTTATTTCGTTGACACTTTCATAGCATGACTTTTTTTCTAATCTTTATTAAATACTTATCGGTATTTTGATATAAAACAAAATGGTTTACTTTCAGTGTGATAAATTTTGTTCTAGTCGTCTATGCAAGAAGTGTGTCGGGTGATAGTACGAATTAGTATTTTGTTTATATACAATTTTAAAGAGTTTTTTACTCATATGTTTCTAAATTGGGGAAATAGTGATAAGATTTGTTTGGAGTATATAGTACCTGTAAATCAATATTAATAAATAAACACACATACATACATACATACATACATACATACATACATACATACATACATACATACATACATACATACATACATACATACATACATACATAGATAATGTTTCTATAAAAGGCCTTTAAAGATGATCTTTTTTCTATAGAAAGATCCTCTACAATATTATACTTTTTCCATAGAAAAAGCTTCTACGATGTTAATTCCTTTTTCTATAGATGAAGTCTTTCTCTGTTAATACTTTTTCTATAGAAAAAGTCTCTTCTATGTAGACTCTTTATCTATAGAAAAAGTCTCTATTATGTAGATTATTTTCCTATAAAAAAAGTCTCTAATATGTAGACTCTTTTTCTATAGAAAAAGTCTCTTACAATGTAGTATCTTTTAATGGAAAATGTACTCTTTTTCTATAGAAAATTCTCAATAATGTAGACTCTTTTTCTATATAAAAGTCTCCACAATTTAGATTCTATTTCTATAGAAAATCTCTACAATGTAGACTCTATACTATAGTCTAGTCTAGTTTAGTCTATGGTCTAGTCTAGTCTAGTCTAGTAAGTCCTTAGTCTAGTCTATAGTCTAGTCTAGTCTATGTCTAGTCTAGTCTAGTCTATAGTCTAGTCTATAGTCTAGGCTATAGTCTTGTCTATAGTCTAGTCTATAGTCTAGTCTATAGTCTAGTCCATAGTCTAGTCTATAGTCTATAGTCTAGTCTATAGTCTAGTCTATAGTCTAGTCTATAGTCTAGTCTATAGTCTAATCTATAGTCTAGTCTATAGTATAGTCTATAGTCTAGTCTATAGTCTAGTCTATAGTCTAGTCTATAGTCTAGTCTATAGTCTAGTCTATAGTCTAGTCTATAGTCTAGTCTATAGTCTAGTCTATAGTCTAGTCTATAGTCTAGTCTATAGTCTAGTCTATAGTCTAGTCTATAGTCTAGTCTATATAGTCTATAGTAGTCTATAGTCTAGTCTATAGTCTAGTCTATAGTCTAGTCTATAGTCTAGTCTATAGTCTAGTCTATAGTCTAGTCTATAGTCTAGTCTATAGTCTAGTCTAGTCTATAGTCTAGTCTATAGTCTAGTCTAGTCTATAGTCTAGTCTATTAGTCTATAGTCTAGTCTATAGTCTAGTCTATAGGCTAGTCTATAGTCTAGTCTATAGTCTAGTCTAGTCTAGTCTATAGTCTAGTCTATAGTCTAGTCTATAGTCTAGTCTATAGTCTAGTCTATAGGCTAGTCTATAGTCTAGTCTATAGTCTAGTCTATAGTCTAGTCTATAGTCTAGTCTATAGTCTAGTCTATAGTCTAGGCTATAGTATAGTCTATAGTCTAGTCTATAGTCTAGTCTATAGTCTAGTCTATAGTCTAGTCTATAGTCTAGTCTATAGTCTAGTCTATAGTCTAGTCTATAGTCTAGTCTATAGTCTAGTCTATAGTCTAGTCTATAGTCTAGTCTATAGTCTAGTCTATATTCTAGTCTATAGTCTAGTCTATAGTCTAGTCTATAGTCTAGTCTATAGTCTAGTCTATAGTCTAGTCTACAGTCTAGTCTACAGTCTAGTCTATAGTCTAGTCTGTAGTCTAGTCAATAGTCTAGTCTATAGTCTAGTCTATAATCTAGTCTATAGTCTAGTCGTCTAGTCTATAGTCTAGTCTATAGTCTAGTCTATAGTCTAGTCTATAGTCTAGTCTATAGTCTAGGCTATAGTCTAGTCTATAGTCTAGTCTATAGTCTAGTCTATAGTCTAGTATATAGTCTAGTCTATAGTCTAGTCTATAGTCTAGTCTATAGTCTAGTCTATAGTCTAGTCTATAGTCTAGTCTATAGTCTAGTCTATAGTCTAGTCTATAGTCTAGTCTATAGTCTAGTCTATAGTCTAGTCTATAGTCTAGTCTATAGTCTAGTCTATAGTCTAGTCTATAGTCTAGTCTATAGTCTAGTCTATAGTCTATTCTATAGTCTATTCTATAGTCTAGTCTATAGTCTAGTCTATAGTCTAGTCTATAGTCTAGTCTAGTCTATAGTCTAGTCTATAATCTAGTCTATAGTCTAGTCTATAGTCTAGTCTATAGTCTAGTCTATAGTCTAGTCTATAGTCTATAGTCTAGTCTATAGTCTAGTCTATAGTCTAGTCTATAGTTAGTCTATAGCTAGTCTATAGTCTAGTATATAGTCTAGTCTATAGTCTAGTCTATAGTCTAGTCTATAGTCTAGTCTATAGTCTAGTCTATAGTCTAGTCTATAGTCTAGTCTATAGTCTAGTCTATAGTCTAGTCTATAGTCTAGTCTATAGTCTAGTCTATAGTCTAGTCTATAGTCTAGTCTATAGTCTAGTCTATAGTCTAGTCTATAGTCTAGTCTATAGTCTAGTCTACAGTCTAGTCTATAGTCTAGTCTATAGTCTAGTCTATAGTCTAGTCTATAGTCTAGTCTATAGTCTAGTCTATAAGTCTAGTCTATAGTCTAGTCTATAGTCTAGTCTATAGTCTAGTCTATAGTCTAGTCTATAGTCTAGTCTATAGTCTAGTCTATAGTCTAGTCTATAGTCTAGGCTATAGTCTAGTCTATAGTCTAGTCTATAGTCTAGTCTATAGTCTAGTCTATAGTCTAGTCTATAGTCTAGTCTATAGTCTAGTCTATAGTCTAGTCTATAGTCTAGTCTATAGTCTAGTCTATAGTCTAGTCTATAGTCTAGTCTATAGTCTAGTCTATAGTCTAGTATAGTCTATTCTATAGTCTAGTCTATAGTCTAGTCTATAGTCTAGTATAGTCTAGTCTATAGTATTCTATAG